CAATCTCTATACGGATCTATGCGTCAGGCAGGAGAGTTGCCATTTAGCGTAGTTTTTAATCTATATAGATTTGAATATTTTTTGAGTGTAGAAGGAGAAAAGGAGACAAACTGCTGGAGTAACATGTCAGAAGGGCCTAACTCGAAAATGTAAACAAACTTTTTTTTGTGTGTTTCGCATGATGACGTGGGCATTTTACGCTTCCATTAATAAAAAAATGCGTAAAATACATGAAAACATACATAAATTATTTTGAAAGAAAAGGCCTAACTCATATTACTCAATTTTTGAGTTAGTCCCTTTTAGTGCAAAAGGGTATAATTAGAATTGGAACTTTTTACGAGATAGGCCTTTTTGTTAAAAGTATTTGTTTATATTTTCTCTCTCATTGTTGTATTTCTTTCATTATTTTTCGTATTAATTGCAAATCGAATTAATTGTTCGTGATAATCGCCGGTCAGTTTATTATGATGGAGAACAATCGTGAGCATAGCAGAGGATTACAGCTTTTGTTGGGTAAATATTCTTTTAATTCATGATTGTAGCCGAGATTGTAGCATTATTTAAAAATATTCAATTCCAGAAGCGGCAGAAGTTGTCCTCAAGGAAGACATTGATGTCAATATCGGTGTTGTTTGCGAAACACCAACCGTAGCGCAGTATGAGGAAGTGAACTTCACAGGCTGTCTGGCGTCTGGAAATTGTTACCGGAACACGAGTGTCTCTTTCGCCAATATTGCTGCATCAACTCCAATTAGAGAATTTGGAGACCCAGTGATATTTCCTGCTCTGGACCTTTCCCAGTCCTTCATAGAAGAAGCACCACTCGATTTGTCGTACAGAAGCAATGAGACGTGTAGTGTTCTCGATACCCCACTGGACTTAGCTCCTGTCAGTCGTAACGAACGTACTGCATCTATGCCAGTGAATGACTGTGCTCCACTAAATTTGGCTCCTGTGAATAAAATCATTTCTAGATTGCCTATTACATTTTATCAATCGGTTAACAGCAGCCAGCAAGCTTATGCTCGTAGCCCTCTGGCACATCTGGACATGAATGTTATTACACATTCTCACACAGGTCCGTACAAAAACAGCAGTGCTGTTACGGTACCCAGTCCGGCATTAGCTCGCAGTTTTGGTTACAAAGTCCAACCACGATATGCAATGCACGATACTTCTGCCGGTAGTGTCCAAGCCGTGGCTCAGCCGGAACATTCAATCACCAGTGCTCACACAATAGAGAAAAGTCAACCAATGCGAAACACGGATTCTTGCGACACCAGTCGTTCAGGTACTTCATTTAATGATCGCGATCATGGACATAGTATTAATTTATGTTCAGAAAAATCAGCGGGAACAGATCAGAAGAAGGAAGCTCCGCTAATCACAGATGAGGACTGGATTCCACGAAGTGATGAAGATGATGATGAACAAGTTGGTGACGCTACTCTTCTGAACGATTTTTCGATACACGAATACTTTGAGCCGTATCGTAACCAAGCAGTGATTGGGGACGAGGATGAAGAAATCGTTGGCGTAAAATCTTGTGTTGATCCAAAGAAGTGTTTACAGTCTGATTACTCCGCAGGTATTTAATAATGTTTTGTTCTGATTAAGTTGTGGTTATGAATATAGATTTTATGAACAGGTCCGTCTTCCCGATCCGCTGTCGTTGGAATAGATGACCTTGGATTTATCGAGTTGGAAAAAGAGAACGTCATAGTCAAGCTTAATGCTCTTCGGAAACGAACGAAAAATAGAAATTTAAAAGAGAAAGGACTGGAATACAGCCGATACAATGGTGCCAAGGTTGCAGCACGCAGCGTTAAGCAAGCATGTGCCTGCTCAAAGCTTTGCTGTGACGAACAATATCACGACGATATACGTAAAAAGATTTTGAATAATTTTTTGAAGCTTTCGTTTTCTGCGCAAAATCAGTTTTTGAGTTGCCATATCGCTGTATCGCATGTGAAAATTCATACGGTGAGCTAAAAACATATTTATATTTGTATGCTTTAAATTTTATTCTGCATTTTATTTTAGGTTGTCAATTCGAAAAGAGAATACACTGTAAGATATTTTCTTCCAGGAGTTGGTGGGATGGCACGAGTGTGCAAGTCGATGTTTTTGGCCACGTTGGATGTTACATCCAAAAAAATGAGATGCTTAACCGTGAAGAAATTGAACGGCTTGGGAGTCAGTGCCGACGATAAGCGAGGTGATAATAGTAATAGAAATCCAATCAGCATCGAAGCAAAACAATACATCGAGGATCATATTCTATCATATCCAGCCTATACGTCCCACTACAGCAGGAAAAAGTCATCAAAGTTGTATTTGTCAAGTGACCTGAACGTTGCAAAGATGTATGAAATGTACAAATCAAAATGTACAAAAGACAGCTTAAATCCAGTCCACTATAATAGCTTTCGGCTCATATTTAAACAGTTTAATATGAGCTTCCGCAAGCCTAAAACGGATACGTGCTGCGAGTGTGATAGACTGAATATACAAATAAAACAACATGCTAACACGGCGGAACTTGAAAAAATCCAAGCCATCCAGCGAGAGCATCAAGAACTGGCGCAGTATGTATACGCAGCGAAAAAAAGGGATGTACAAGATGCTAAGGTCGATCATACGGTATACACCGCATCGTTCGATTTACAAAAATGCCTGCCAACACCCCATCTTTTGTGCGGGCAAGCATTTTACAGCCGGCAACTATACACTCTCAATCTCACCATTTTCGAAACTTGCCAGGGACGAAACTCCGCTCGATGCTTCCTGTGGGATGAATCAAAGGCTCGCCGGGGATCACAAGAAATTGGGTCGTGTATCCTACACAACCTTCGGTCTCTACTAAATGGAGATTCTTACTCTAAAGTTCGTGTTGTCAAACTTTATTCAGATAGGTGCGGTGGACAGAATCACAATATTACAATGTGCATGATAATGAGCCTTTTCATTGAGGAGTGCAAAAGAGCAAACCGAGAAATGACCATTCAGCATAACTTTATGGTCAGTGGCCATAGCCATGGAGGTGGACTCTGTACACGCTGCCATTGAGCGGGCCAAGAAGCAGAACACGATGGATATTGAAACGCCGCGGGACTGGGCGGTTTTTATATCCCAGGTTAAAAGAAAAATTCCGTTCAATGTTACGGAATTAAAGCAAAGCGATTTTTTCGCTTTAAAATCACTTGAAGCCAGATATAAACGCCCAAAGCATAACTCGTCAGGACACCTAATCAAATTCAAACAAATCATGCAGTTTGAATACCGCACTACCTCTCCTGGCGTTGTATTTTATAAAACGAATATTAAGGAACAAGACTTCTCTAGTTTCACTTTGGGCGATGAGAAAGTATTTCAAGACACAGATATGCCTCTCCCTCAGCTTTTGCCAATAGAAAAAGAACCGATTCCATTACCCAAGGAGAAGCTGGATGATCTTAAAAAGTTGATGCCATTCATTCAGAACAAGCAGTATTATGACACGCTACTTAAAAATCTCGTGGCACCAAAACGAGGCAGAAAAAGAAAACTGATTGAAAAAGACCACTTCGATGCTGATTTGGATCCAAACACTGACGACTGGCCAGTGGAATATTTAGAGGCAGTCGACAACGAGTGGCCTATGTAGTACAAATCACTCACTGGTTTCCCAGCAAAAACCCATCAACCCAGCAAACCCAAACAACCGTTCTACAATTATTGTTCAGCATTGTTATCAATCGTTATCCACATATATTAATACAAATACAATTTATTAAATAAAATATGTTGAACGTTACAAATCTAACTCTTATTAGTGTAGTCCGTAGTCTTATAACGGAAAACATTATCAGTCTAACTTTCCGCTTTCTTCATTGATCGCCACGTAGGTGTTGTATTCTACAAAGCTATAGCTTATAATAACAATCTTGATTTCTATTTTTCTGCCCGTTCTACAATCTTTTCAACGGTATTTTTGTTGATGAAACTGCTTTTTCTGAACAATACGATAGAGGCGGTCCATAGCCTGTACGTCCATTTAAGGGTGTCAGTTGGATACGTAGATGACTAAATCGTCGGCCGTATCGGCCAATTAATACCCAACCCACCGGTTTTATCACAATAAATAAAGAATTCAAAACAATCTGCAGCTAGTCAAAAAAGATCTAATCAAAATGCCATGTAAATAAAGATTCAACTAAAAGGTTCTAACTAAAATTAAAGACAAAATACGTGCTAACAGAAAGGGTCTAACTCAGGGTAACGAGTATAAAGGGACTATTACGGTTTATTTTCACATTTTCGCATTTTTTACATGTTGGTAGTGGATTTTCGACGGATATGATGCATTATACTTAAAGCTTTCGTTTTTGTGCTTCTTTTAGTGTTCCTTAATGTTTTCTATAATGTTACTGTTTTAAATAGGATTTGAAAATTTATACCAAAATTTGAAATTTATTTTTTTCAAAACTGTCAAATTCTAGATAGGCCCTTCTGACATGTTACTCCAGCTAGTCAAAAGTAGGTAAAAGTGAACTTTTCGTTGGGTTCTTTTTTCTTACCGTGTATAAGGCTTTAGTTTACACGGCGAATGAGAACGCCCAAATTTGAGTTTAGTTCACTCATAATCGCCAAAAGTGCAGGAACTCAGCGACGAGTAAAATTTGTCTCATGTTTTCCCAGGTTTTTCCAGGATTTTTCAGGGAAAAATTCCCGAATTTGAGAAATGTAAAGATTGGATTCACTCAGTCTATTGGTACTTCTCCAAGACTGAATAAAATTTTCGACAATTTCCTCATTTTCCGGCAGATTTTTTAGGTTTTCCACACGAAACCATGAGACAAATTTACTTTCGCTGAGTTCCTGCACTTTTGGCGATTATGAGTGAACTAAACACAAATTTAGGTCGTTCTCATTCGCCGTATATCGTCGTTGCGGGGGTGGTGGGAGTGGGCTTGTTTTGGTGTTTCGTGATAGGATTCCTGCAGTGTAAATCTACGTATCGACCGACGGAACTTCTACCGAATTGTTCCCTCCATGAACGGCATAATGTCGGAAAAGTTCGCCATCAAACTAATGCGTGAAATTCATAACCCCAAGAATCCGCTCGTATTCCTGGAGGTGCAAATCGGCGAGGAGAGAGGTATATAAATTCTTCAGTGTTTGGTGTAATTCTGGTAAAGAACTACTGTAATTTTTGAGAATTTTTAGTTGGAAGACTGGTGATTGAGCTGCGTGCCGATGTGGTTCCGAAAACGGCGGAGAATTTCCGTGCTCTCTGCACCGGCGAGAAGGGACTGTCGGAATCGACTGGTACTCGGCTGCACTACAAGGGCAGCCCATTTCACAAGGTGAAGTCGCTGTTTATGTCCCAAGGAGGAGATATTGTGAATTTCAATGGATCCGGTGGCGAAAGTATCTACGGGAAGACGTTTGACGATGAGAACTTCACTTTGCTGGTCGGTAGAAAAGGTTGAAATTCGGTTTTGATACGGGAAGATTTATAAGGTGTGTTTGTCTTTGGCAGCACGAAGATGGAGCGGTTAGTATGGCCAATTTAGGTAAGCCGAACACAAACAATTCGCAGTTCTTCATCACTTCCGGCGAGTGTCCCCACCTGAATGAAACGCACGTGGTGGTGGGATATGTCATCAAAGGGATTGGAGTGATCGGAGAGATGGAGAAGTATGCTTCCGACGAAGGAATGCCGACAATGCAAATCAATATCGTTGACTGTGGCCAGATTGCACCAGAGGAGGATTGGGGCATAAACGATGATGACGAGACCGGGGACAAGCTTCCTCCCTTTCCGAAAGATTGGTGCAAATTTGAGGAGACTTTCACGGTAATTGCAAACCAGTTTTGCTGTTTTCGGATTGAATGACATGGGAAGTTCTTTTCAGATTCTTGAGATGCTGGATCACCTCGACCGTATCAAAGCAGCAGGAAATTATTTCTTCAAGGAAAAACAATGGGTGGAGGCGTGTCGGCGGTACAAGAAAGCCGAACGTTACTTTAACTTTTTCAACAACAACATTAGTATGATCGAGGATCGCACCAAACTGGAGCAGTTCCACCTGATGAACTGTCTCAACCTGGCGGCCGCTCTGCTCAAGCTAAAAGACTACGACAATGTCCTGTTTGCTTGCAACTCTGCTCTGGTGCTGGATCCAATCAATGCCAAAGCCTTGTTTCGGCGAGGCCAGGCACACCACAAGTTGAAAAACTATGAACTGGCCATATTAGATCTGACCCAGGTGGTGCAGCAGATTCCCAGCGATAAGTTGGTCTTGACCGAACTCAGCCAAGTGAAAGCCAAACTAGGGGACTACCGGGCGCAACAGCGAATCGCACTAACCAAGTACTTTAACTGAGATTGTATTTGTTACTCGTTCGTGTTGCCAGTGACGGTCTGTTTACAAATTGTGCTGTGAAAATTGGTGTTATTGTTTCGACACAAATAAAAGGGGATTTTTGTAAGTGTACTTTTATTTCCTTCTGCTTAAAAATCTTAAAATATACAACGATCAATATACATCTTCTTATAGGCTAGAGGTTTTGCGCTACAGAGTAATATATTTCTTTACAAATATGTACAAATCACATTTTCTTTGTTTTCGTCATCGGTTCAACAATGATTGCGCTATTTACACTCTTTCAACGCATAACGATAGCTTTAAACGTACAACATCATTATAATTTAAAATCTTACATCTCGCAAAGCTTCGGTTTAGTCTTAGTTTCTTCTGCGTATGCCTTTTGTTTTTATCTTACATTCTAATCCTTAACTATAATGGTAGTTCTACAATATCACTTACGACCAGTTTATCGATTGTGTAGCGTTTTGTTCACAGTTTCAGTTTGGTTCCGTTTGCTTTTGTTTACTTATTTCCAGCCTAGCTGTGCTCACTAGACACATATTTTATGATATTTTTTGGTTGTTTGCGCTCAGATTGTGGGATTTGATTGTACCACAGACAATCTGTCTGTGATTGCACGATGTATTTCGCAGAGTATAGGACTCTCGTTGGACAGTTCCGTTTCGAGACAGTTGCTTATCTTAGGTTTGACGCGACTTGCTTATCTTAAATTTGGAGGGTGTTTGAACGGCTGTTGAATTTGTTAGACGTGATTTGATTGTTGCCGGTTGGCGCTACAACTTTCGACTCACATCAGCATCAAGTTGAACAAACTCGGTGCTCAGCGTTTGGAATCATTTCAGCGTGAATGGAGACGCTTGGTTGTTTATCGAGTTCAATACAATATGTACAGACAGCATTTACCGCATTTACCAATAATCAGAGGCAGGGCCATGCATTTTCGAAACAAAGAAAAGAAAATGAACTATCCACAGAATCGCATAATTTCGAGCAATATCATTTTCGATATTGTTATCGAGTCACGATGAACATTCCTCCTTTCAAACATGACTTGACTATCGCTTCTTTCGTTCGTCAAATGCTTCAGTTCATTTCATTTCAAAGACTTGTTTCAATTGACGCAATGAATTACTCGAAAACTATTATTCAAATCGGCCGTTTACGATTTTCGGGCATAAGTCAGAATTAAGTGTCATGTCGGTTTGTCGGTGGCTTCATTGTCACTTTGATGATTTTCGATTGAAAGTGACTTTGTGGGGCCCTGATCAAAGGTGTCAGATGATGCTCCTGAAAGTCTGAGAGGTTTCAAAAATGTCTTCAAAGTCGTTTTTGACCAAACATGACCTGATATTTACGAATAAAACCAGTAGGTGTAATACCCCATTCACACTATAGCCTATATTAAGTGATATAGGCTGTATTGATATCATAATCTACACTCTAATTCTGCATTATTAGCTTTCCCGTTATTTCTGAATTGCGGAACTGTTGGGTAAAGTTTAAAAATCTGTAAAATATTTATAAACTGAAATATTAACATTGAATTTGTACAAGCTTTTATAAAAAAAATAAAAAATTAAATATGAGTATGTGCAGTATGAGATCGCAACCAAATGAGTTAATTTTTTGGAGAATGTTCAGATCAGTTTTCAGAACATCTGACATGTTTCCAGAACTTCTGACAAGTTCACAGATATTTCACCAAGTTTATAGAACTTCCGACTCGTTTATAGATCTTCCGTCAAGTTCACAGTACATCCGCCATATTTATAGAACTTCCAATAAATACACTTAGCTTCCGACAAGTTGACAGACCTTGCGTCAGGTTCACTGAACTTCCAACTTCGCACAATTTCACTGAATTTTTGAAAGGTTCACTGAATTTGCAGCTGGTTAATGGATGAACTTCTGACAAGTTAACTGCCGTCATACGCATAACTGTCCCATGTTCTATGCAATCCTTATGCACCGTGGGACACTTATGCGTATAACGGCAGTTTACCGAACTACCGTCAAGTTCGCAATACTTCCGACAAGTCCCCAGAACTTCCAACAAGTTCACAGAGCTTCCGATTAGTTCACAGATCTTTCGTCAAGTACCCAGAACTTCCGACAAGTTCATAGAACTTCCTTGACAGATGTTTCGACGAGTTAACAGAACTTTTGACAGGTTCACTGTACTACCAACATACTCATATGGTAAGCGTGACTGCTATCTCACCCCAATGGGTCTGGGTTCAATCCCAGCCGAGGTCGGTGGGATTTTTCTGAGGCATAAAAATCTCTGGTCACGTCTTCCTTCGGAAGGGAAGTAAAGTCGTTGGTCCCGGCCCATGTTTGTGTTGAATGGGTGCGACATTTTACGCAGGAGTGGAAGCTGCCTTCCTGCACATTCGATTGCCGTCAATGGATGGCAATCGATGTCCGTCGGTGATTGGCACTAGATTGCGCAGTAGACTGGCAACCCCATATCAATCCTATACGTTTGACAGTAGGCAAGATCACCGGCCTTATTTAAATACGGCCCGTCTGACGTATACCTGGTGGAAAGGGACGGATAATCGTGTTGTAAGCAGAGAGACAAGAGCAGATGATATCTTAAAAAAACATAAATGAAAGAAGAAGAAGAAGAAGAACATATTCATGGATTTTCCTCCGAACTTCCGACAGGTTTACTAAAATGCACAGAACCTCCGGCAAGTTCACAGAATGTCCGACAAGATCATAGATTTTGCGATAAATTCATAAAACTTGCGCCAAGTTCAGTGTGGCTGTGGAATAGTGATCGTTTATCACTAACTAAAGCCCCACGTTGTCGAAAGCATTTCCAGGCGATGGTGTGCTGTAATGCATTCTTCTTTACCCAACTAGAGTCGGTGTTGTATAATGAGTCACGCCAAGAGAAAAACAGTTGAACTCGCATCACGGTTTTCGAAAGATTCCCTTTCTTTTCACTTGGCAACAGAGGACTTCTATAGAAAAAAGTACCCAAAATTAAGTTCTTTTCACTCATCTCGGCACTACAGTGCAGGAACCCAAAAGTAGGTAAAGCGGGTCAAAGTAATTTTCATTTACTTGTGTGCAATTCGTATGGAATTTTCCACTCGCTTTCAACCCAAAAGTAAGTTAGTTGTACCCAACAGTAGGTAAATATGATTTTACTCAACGTTGGGTTCCCACACTTTACAACCCTTGTTGGGTGGTTTTGCTCCTCCGTTTTTGACAACATTAGAAGGAGGAAAGGAGACAAACTAGTCAAAAGTAGGTAAAGGTGAACTGGCCGTTGGGTACTTTTTTCTAACTGTGTATAGTGCAAGTAATTTTGATCGATTCTCTACATCGACTTTCTGTTTCGTTAAGGCCCAAGCGCAATGACAGCGGAAGCGGAACGGCAGCGGAAGCGGCAAATCCCGATCTGAGTAAGCCTACTTCCCGCATAAACGCGAACCATAAATTGACCTTACCTAAAATGGTTAAAAATTGTTTATAATCCCTGCTGAACTTCAACTGAAATGGTTATGGAACTTTACATGAACGTTTAATGATAAAGTTTCAACCTTATGTATTATGGTTTTTTGGAACTGGACCTTACAAATAATGGGTTGTTAAGAACCATTACCGTTCCAAATTCTTGTTTTCTCCATACATTTTCGGAAAGAGAACTATATTAGAACCTTTTAACTTATGGTTTGAGAACTTTAATGGTAATGGTTATGGTAGTCAGTAAGGTCCACGAATGGTTTTGTAACATCGATCAACTTTATGTGGAATATATCGCGAATTGGTTGCCTGTAATTTACTGATTACCAATTCACGATATATTCCACGTAAAGTTAAGCGATAATACAAAACCATTAATGGACCTTACTGACTACCATAACCATTACCATTAATGTTCTCAAATCATAAGTAAAAACGTTCTTATATAGTTCTCTTTCTGAAAATGTATGGAGAAAACAAGAATTTGGAATGGTAATGGTTCTTAACAACCCATTATTTGTAAGGTCCATTTCCAAAAAACCATAATACATAAGGTTGAAACTTTATCATTAAACGTTCATGTAAAGTTCCATAACCATTTCAGTTAAAGTTTAGCAGGGATTATAAACAATTTTTAACCATTTTAGGTAAGGTCAATTTATGGTTCGCGTTTATGCGGGTTGTCGGATTGAAAACACGTTAGATCCAAATTGAGTTCGGTTAGGCATCTTTAGGTAATTTGTGACAACTGTCAATCTTTCCGTTTCCGTTCCGGTTCCGTCAACATTAGAATATATTTCGAACATTCTTGTATTATCGACAATGTCGTTCAAACGATTTTCGAACAGAAATTAATGTTTTAGTCAAGCTTCTTCGTTAATTCAGAGCCAACATTTCTAAGGGGCGTAATTGTATTAGCCAAGAATGGCTATAGCCATCGATTTCTCGCGAATAAAAGCTCACTCATGAAAATTAATGATACCAACAGGTAGAGGAATGTTTCATCTACCAGCTAGCATTGTTAATTTGGAGAGGTAAGCTTGTATTTGCGAGAAATCGATGGCTAAAGTCATTAATTACAAAAGCGATAACGCCCTTTGAAATGTTGGCATTGAATTTTCCATTATATGACATTGATTTTGTTTGAGGTGACATCTATAGGAAACTACGCATAATCTGTTTTCCATTAGTTGTCCACAGTGCAGTCAAAAACCTATAAATCTTTTTCAAAGACTACACAATAGAGTACCTGGCACTACAAAATATGCCTGGTACCTCTATAATGTACCTCCCTTTTGTATACTCTGCACAATAAACACACTCTAAAGGCCCACCCACATTAGATCCGTTTGCGTTGCGTTGACGTAAATTTGACAGTTAGATAATACATTTAGCTGTCACTTTGCCGCAACGCGTCCGATCCGAATCTAATGTGCGTAGGCCTTAAGCCTCGTCAAAAGCCGTGGAAAACCAGGAGAATCTTCTCGAATATTAGGAAAATCAAAGGGGGACGTCACATCTAAATCTCAATTGATCAGTTCACGAAGATTTGCCGCACTCTTCTCTCACCCGTAAGTTTTGACAGTTTTGGGTGGTTTGTTTTGGCTCCCATTCGTTGCTATCTCTTTTACTCAGAAGCAAAATGATAGGGAGCAAAAAGTGAGGTTAGAGACCGTGCACTGATCTATTCTAGATGTTCGAAAAATCTTACACTAACAAATAAATCTATGAAAAATCATCTTTTATTTCTCGCATTTATTTGCTCGCAGGAAATCTACAGAATCGTCATCAATCTGCTTTCTATCTACTCAGCGTGCGCGCAGCTAACCATATCAAAACTAATTCTTTCCTGCATCGGGAAAATCCATTAAAATTTTACTCACTCCAGAAGTATTCTATTCTAACAGATTGAGTAAAACCCCTATCGTTTTTCCTCATCATCATGAAGGTTTTCCTGGAAAAGCCCGGAAAATTCAACTCATTTTTGAGTAAATCCAAGTTTGCCGAAATGGACTCGACTCGACTCAATTTTGAGTCAGTCTGAACGACCCTGCACCATTATCTGTGTTATCAAATTTGTTGTAAAAAACGCATCATGCTCAAACAAAAAACGGCACGTGTCGGGAAATCATTAATCAGCGACAGGGAAGTTCACCAGCCGTTTAAATCCCCTTTTAACGTTTTACGGATTGTGCACATTGTTCCGGTTTACTAATTTTCTTTTTTTAGCACACTTGATTGTTTAAAAACAAAAGAGTAAACAAATGACCTTGTCCTAACGAGATTCCTTTCTTAATACGCATGAGTTGTAATATTGGACTCGGTTAGTCTGGCAGCCTAAAAGCACAGAGTTACAGACGTATCCTTTCTTCTCAATAGCCGTACACGCATTTAATGTTCAATTTAAATAATATTTGTTGCGCGAATCCCTCACCACAGCGCTGGCATCGGATCACTTTGACGTTACTATACATTCTATTGAACTTGTATGCAGTATTGTTTGAGATGTCATCGTTCGTGAGCTCGGTCGCGATATATTTAAGAAACATTTATCTAAAGGATTTACGTCTGTTTGTCTGTGCTAAAAGGTTCTTTTCTGTTCCTCCCATCTCTGTTTGCATTATTTAACGCTTCCCACCGACGCTGCTGGTAGGCCTCAGACTGGTTTCACTAAGAGATAAACGACCGGCCGGCCAAAATCGGTTCTCGGACCGAGTCGAGTGGAAGGTTTGTCGCCCATACAAAATCCTTCCTCGCACGCAAGGTTCCGGATCCGGCTTGTCCGGCACTCTAATCGCGCAGCTGTTTACGTAACTGACAGAGGAGAGACTTCAGCGCCCTGCTGTTCCTCTTTTCGCTGAGGGTGTTGATGGTGATGGTGATGGCCGTGGTCGTCGGTGGTGGCTGTTAAATACATGTTTCACGCTTCAGGCTACTTTGGCTACCGCTTTTATCGCTATCGTATCCATTAATTAATTGATGATTCGGATGCTGCAGCAGATGCTGCTCCTGGTGAGGATGGAAATCATTGCTGTCCGTTCCGTCGGACGGCGATTCGCTCGGGTCGGGCAATTGTTTACCATCGTAGCCCGCTAGCTCGATTGATAGATTTGACGACGCCCGGGACGACGCCAACGGTGTGGATGCGGTGGAGAGATTGTTTTCCTTGCTAATACTACGGTTGATGTTGTTGTTGCTGTTGTTGTTTGGGGTGGTGATGTTGGTAGTGCTAGTGCTATTTACATTGTTTACAAGGCAGCCCATATCGCCGTTGATGCTTATCAGCGGTATTTTGAGACTGTTCTCGCCGGTGGCAGTGGCGGTGGTCGTGGTGGTCGTTGTGGACGTGGCCGACACCAGCGTCGTCGTCAGAGTTGATGTCGACGTGGTATAACAACGTGGTCGGCCGCTCAGCTTGTTTTCCAACATGACCACGACGTCGGTTGGCATGTTCGGGGAGAGTGACCCGCGGCTTCCAGGAAGGCGGCCGATCTGCAAAGTGGAAGATGGAAAACAGATTTGAAATAAGTGGTTTGTTATTTATTACATATGTAGATAGGGCAGCACGAATTATGGTATGAGATGGTACGATGAGATTGCGGTTTTCGTTTTCGGTAAACAACTGATGGGATTTGAACGGCAAACAGATACATATAAGCTTTTTGCGACACTTTCCGTCTGGAAGTCGATAGAACATATCGCTCTCTCATTTCGCTCAAGGATCTTGTGACCGTATTTCAGATGCAGTTAGTAAGAAAATTTCATCAGTTATTTCCATTTATAATATTGGGATTTGGCTTTACTTTTGGAAAATTACAAAATTATAGGAAATAAATTGAAGCTAGATAATACTAGATAGAATGAAAACAAATTTGGTGGAAAGCAAGGGGAAATTGTCTGTCAATCACAAAGATAAATCTTTTGAGGCTTAGGTTTTTATACAATACACACATTTTTAATCTCGTGGAATTATTACATCATTGTATTGTACAGTCAAAATTCCTATGGTACGGATTCGTTCTTGCCGGATTCCTATAGTACGGTCATTGCCACTGGATTCCTATACGGTCATTGCCACTAGATTCCGTAGCATATGGGTCATTCCATCTCAAGTACCGAGTCAGTTGCATCGACCCTCTCCGATTTGAACCAAAATTTGCCTGCTTTTCTCGTAATCCAATTTTTGTTGCGCTTTTCCAAGTAAAATTTGACTTCGCTTCTCGTGATTCAGATTTGATTGCGCTTTTCTTAGTGAAATTTAACTTCGGTTATCGTAATCCAACACCCCGAAATGGTGAGGACCACAGGGGGAAGAGCGTCCAACATAGCGCTGGTCTTCACAAGCTCCTACCTCACGCTTCCACGTGTCGGATGATGACAGCCAGTATATGCCCATATATGTGCTGGTAGCGGGGTGTGGGCAATGTCATCACTATTAACCCATATCGTGATGATAGCAAGGCTGAGGAGGTGTGAATCGTCGAGCGTTTGTCCACCAGGAGGGGCGGCTCGAACAGCGTCTGTCTGGGATCCAGCGGCTGAAAAAGAAATGCTGTATTGTGTCAGCTAAATCCAAGATGACAGCCCCATCTACACAATAACCCGAGCGTCTGTCCACCAGGAGGTGCGGCTCAAACAGCGTCTGTCTGGCATCCAGCGGCTGAAACAAGAAATGTTTAATCATGTCAACTAAACCTAAGATGGCAGCCCCATCAACACGATGTAGGTATCGCGACCCTGGTACGGTAGCATACTGAATTATAAAAGTACTCAGAAAAATGACGTAAGAAGAAGAAAAAACGAACGGAATCTTCGGAAACTGACGCAACGGCAACGAAATAAGGACAATGAATGGAAACTCGGTTCTTGGAATGTCAGAACGTTAAATGAACCTGGACGAGTGGGCCTTCTGGCCTGTGAACTGCAAAAGGTAAATGTGAGTGTGGCTGCTATTCAAGAAGTACGGTGGCTTAGATCTGGAGAACGTGAATTCAGGGCGGTAGATCCTATCGCCAACACATCGTTCAAATACCATATCTACTACAGCGGTGGCGATAGAGCAGAACACGGAGTTGGTTTCGTAGTGATTGGGAAACAGATGAAGCGGTTTATGCGGTGGAAACCGGTTAGCGAGCGCATCTGCGTTTTGAGGATTCGTGGCAAATTCTTCAATTACAGCCTGATCAACATCTACGCACCGACTAACAATAAATCCGATGACGTGAAGGACGCGTTTTATGAAAGCCTGGATAAAACCTATGATGAGTGCCCTAAACACGACGTGAAGATTGTCATCGGAGATGCAAACGTGCAGGTCGGAAGAGAGGAATTCTTTCGCCCAATCATTGGAACAGAGAGCCTTCACTCTGCAACGAATGATAATGGCCTGAAGCTGATAAACTTCGCTGCTGCTCGTGATATAGTCATCAGTAGCACCCACTTTGCACGCAAGGATATCCGAAAGCACACCTGGAGACACCCTAATGGCGAAACTTGCTCCCAGATCGACCACGTGTTGGTGGATGGTCGGCATTTCTCGGATGTCGTAGATGTTAGGACCTTCAGGGGTCCTAATATCGACTCGGATCACTACCTCGTTGTCGCAAAAATTCGAGCGCGTCTATCGACCGTTACGAGTTCGAGAAACCGGAGTAGACGACGTTGCTGAACGGAGAGAACGAGAGAGCATCTACAAACAGAACACACATCGACGACGATGGCCAAGCTGTGGAACCACCAACGCTAGAAGAGGTGAAAAAGGCGATACGAGAGCTGAAAAACAGTAAGGCTGCGGGGAAGTACGAGCTCCCGGCCGAACTTCTCAAACACGGAAGTGAGCAGCTGCACCAGATGATCCACCGTATACTGCTCAAGATATGGGAGGTGGAAGAATTGCCCGCTAGTTGGTTGGATGGTCTCGTTTGACCCCCTACAAAAAGGGACACAGACTGGAGTGCGCCAATTACAGAGTAATCAAGCTTCTGAATTCGGCGTACAAAATATTATCACGTGTTCTGTTCAACAGATTGAGACCGCTTGAAGAATCCTTCGGCGGCGAACACCAGGCTGGTTTTTGTGAGGGTCGATCAACGAAGGATCAAATATTTACCCTGCGTCAAACCCTTGAGAAGTTCCGGGAATACAACTTGCAGACTCATCATCTGTTCATAGATTTCAAGGCAGCGTACGATTCAGTAAAGAGAAACGAGATAATGCAAGAAAACGGTTTTCAGACGAAACTAATTAGGCTGATTCGTGCAACGCTGGATGGTTCGCTGCAGACGAGATTTCGGCCTCGTTCGTGACCTTAGATGGGTTGAAGCAGGGAGATGCTCTTTCGAACTTGCTATTCAACATCGCCCTCGAAGGAGCGATTAGGAGAGCTGGCGTGCAGAGGAACGGTACCATCATCACAAAGTCGTACATGCTCCTTGGTTTTGCGGACGACATCGACATCATCGGAATCAACCGTAGAGGAGTGGAAGAAGCGTTCGCGCCTTTTAAGAGGGAGACAGCAAGGATTGGTCTCACGATAAATTCTACCAAAACGAAGTACATGGTCGCTGGTAGAAAGCGTGGTAGCAATAGTGGTGTTGGTAGTGAAGTGGTGCTAGATGGCGAAAAATTTGAAGTTGTGGACGAATCTGTTTATCTTGGTACTTTAGTGACGTGCGATAATGATGTTACCCGCGAGGTGAAAAGGCGTATTGCAGCCGCGAACAGGGCTTTCTACGGGTTGCGTAGCCAGCTGAAGTCCCGCAGCTTGCGTACTAAAACGAAACTCGCGCTGTACAATACGTTGATTCTGCCGGTAGCCCTTTATGGCCAAGAATCGTGGGCATTGAAAGAGGCCGATCGGAGAGCTTTCGGTGTCTTCGAGCGTAAAGTGCTGCGAACAATACTCGGCGGTAAACTGGAAAATGGCATCTGGCGGCGTCGCATGAATCACGAGTTGTACCAAGTATATAACGGCATGGATATTGTGAAGCTTATAAAACACGGCAGGCTACAGTGGGCTGGGCATGTGGCACGAATGCCGGAAGAGCGTCAAGCGAAGTCAATATTCAGCAGGGAATCCGGAGGAGGACGTCGGCTTCGGGGTAGGCCACGCACGCGTTGGCTTTGTGCAGTTGAGGAGGACATTAGGTCCTTGAACGTCCAAGGCGACTGGAAGCGATTGGCACAGGACCGAGACCAATGGAGACGGTTACTTCGTTCGGCGCAGATTTGGCCAACAAGTCGTCGCCCATCAGGTACTTAGGTAGGTATCGTAATCCAAATTCGATTTCGTTTTTTCAAGTAAAAATTGGCTTCCCTTCTCGTAATACAAAATCGATTGTGGTTTTCCAAGTAAAATTTGACGTTGCGTCTAGTAATCCGAATTCGATTAAGCTTTTCCAAGTAAAATTTGGCATCGCTTCACAAATTCCAAATTCGACTACACTTTTACAAGAAAAAAAAATTGGCTTCGCTTCTCGTAATCCAAATTCGATTGCGTTTTTCTAAGTAAAATTTGACTTCGCTTCTCGTAATCCAAATTTGATTGCGCTTTTCTAAGTAAAGTTTGACTTCGTATCTCGAATCCAAATTCGATTGCACTTTTTCACCCAAAATTTGACGTTGCTTCTAGTAATCCAAATTCAATTAAGCTTTTCCAAGTAAAATTTGGCTTCGCTTCAGGAATTGCAAATTCGCCTGTGCTTTTGCAAGTAAAATTTGACTTCGCTTCTCGTAATTCAAACTTAACTACCCAAGTAACCAAAAGTTCCGCATTCATCGATTAAAATCACTTCCAAGTTCCATAAAGTTCAAATAAAGTTCCGACAGAACATTCAAGTTCCATAAAGTTCGAATAAAGTTCTGACAGCACTTTCAAGTTCCATAAAGTTCGAATAAAGTTCTGACAGCACTTTCAAGTTCCATAAAGTTCAAATAAAGTTCCGACAGAACTTTCAAGCCACATGAAGCAATCCGCACAAATCTTTATTTGTAACAAAATTTAATGTACTTAAAATATGAAATGATCAGTGGCCCGAATAAATCATAATTCTTATATTTATGCAACATTTCATAAAAAAAGAAGTAATTTCCTGGATTCGAACCAGTGTATTTGGCATGCGATCTGCGATTGCTAACCACTGCGCCACAAGTGTTCCATCACACCATGCGAACAAACACCAATTTAAAATTCATCAAGGTGTTGTGTTTCGTATTCAAGTCAGTCAGCTGGCTCAGAAAACTTCAACAATAGGTGGGACAACAGCTCACTTTAATATATTTCACATGACGAAGCGGTTCGTGCTGAGACTCTCACGCAAAAAAGGACTGGGTTTAATTCTTCAAATAGCTCCATTACTACTACTAATGCTGATATGATAAATCAATACACATTAAAACCTGCCTTTAGAAATAACTTTCATAAAAGTGCGACTAAATATTGGCGTAGAGGACAAAAACCTTTTTTAATTTATTTTCTAAAAGTTCCGTTTAAGTTCCGCCAGAGGCTGCTTAGAATGCTCTTCAATTATGCTCTTATAACGACTTAAAAATGAGGCAGCTTAGAATTCTATAGACCACCTTCAACCAAGCTGCTTAAGCCATAAATAGCCTTTAATCAGAACTTTTGGTTACTTGGGACAGCTTTCCAAGTAAAATGTTACTTCGCTTCTCGTAATCCAAATTCGACTGCGCTTTCCTCGTAATCCAAATTCGATTGCGCATTTTTTAGTAAAATTTGACTTCGTTTCTCGTAATTCAATTTCTGTTGCGCTTTTCCAAATAAATTTCACTTTCCCAAGTAAAAATTGGCTTCCCTTCTCGTAATACAAAATCGATTGTGTTTTTCTAAGTAAAATTTTACTTCGCTTCTTGTAATCCAAACTCGACTGCGCTTTTACAAGTAAAATTTGACTGCGCTTCTCGTTATCTAAACTCGGATGCGCATTTCTAAGTAAAATTTTACTTTGCTTCTTGAAATCCAAATTTAAATGCGCTTTTTAAAGAAAAATTTCACTTCGCTTCTCGTTATCTAAATTCGATTGCGCGTTTCTAAGTAAATTTCGCTTTGCTTCTCGTAATTCAAATTCGACTGCACTTTTCCAAGTAAAATTTGACATCGCTTCTTGTCATCCAAATTCTATTGCGCTCTTCCTATTAAATTTAAGATTGTTTCTTGTAATCCAAATTCAACTGCGTTTTTTCAAGTAAAATTTGACGTCACTTCTCGTAATCCAAGTTTGATTGCGCTTTTCCAAGTAAAATTTGACTTCGCTTCTCGTAATACAAATTCAACTGCGCTTTTTTAAGAAAAATTTGACTTCGCTTCTCGTAATCCAAATTTGATTTTCCAAGTAAAATTTGGTTTCGCTTCACGAATTCAAAATTCAGCGGCGCTTTTACAAGTAAAATTTGACTTCGCTTCTCGAAATACAACTTCGATTGCGCTTTTCCAAGTAAAATTTGGCTTTGATTCTTGAAATTCAAATTTGATTGCGTATTTCTAAGTAAAATTAGACTTCGTTTCTCGCAATCCAATTTCTGTTGCGCTTTCCAAGTAAAATTTGACTTCGCTTCTTATAATCCAACTTCGATTGCGCATTTCTAAGTAAAATTTGACTTCGTTTCTCGTAATACGTAATTCAATTTCTTTTGCCTTTTTCCAAGTAAAATTTGACTTCGCTTATCGTAATCCAAATTCAATTTCGCTTTTCCAAGTAAAAATTGACTTCCCTTCTCGTAATACAAAATCGATTGTATTTTTCAAAGTAAAATTTGACGTCGCTTCTCGTAATCTAAATTCGATTAAGCTTTTCCAAGTAAAATTTGACTTCGCTTCTCGTAATCCAAAATCGATTGCGCTTTTCCAGATGATTTTTAATTTTTTGTTTGGTGCTAAGTGGTTGTCGACTATCCGCGAATACTCACAACGTCACAACCAAAGACTTTGAATCAATCGTGTTCGGCTCAAAGTTTTGTAGTTGTTACAGAAGAATTCTCATAATTTGTATTTGAACTGCGCTAATCTGATGCCTTGAATAGAAACTTATAATAATATTTAAATAATTCGTTATTTTTTTAAATAGTTTCTCTATAACATCATGGGTAGAACATTGTTTTGACTGTCCTACCCAGGCATTTTTATACGTAGGACATGTCCTATCTGACCCACCTACTTATAGTGCTTCTGGATCTACATATATTAATTACATCCCGTAACCTTATTAACATATTCAGTCAATCAAAAACACACCACAACCCATTGATGCAATATATTTAATAGCACAGTTATTCCGCTCATTGGAGTGTAGGTCACGGGCCACCGCCTCACTCACCTGCAGGGAATTCCGCCGGATGTAGTTATCGCCGTATCGTAAGCTATTGTTCGTGTGCAGGCCGCCGCCTTTATATCGTGACCGTTTGGAGGACTGCATCATCGACCGGGCCCGGAGCTGTGGAAGAGAATGGAAAATGGATGGTGGTTACATTAATTGTGACTTACGAGGAATGCGAAATTTATCATCCCTAAAGAATGACTGATTTATGGATCAGTTGATGCCGTCAACTGATAGAGGGATGATTGCTTCCCTTTGTGAGAGAGTATAAATTTCCGCTTCCGGAAAAAAATAATGACGTATAAATTACCTCACCGGTGTTTCAGTATACATTTAAATAGTATTAATCATCTTTCAGTGAATGGTTGTGAATTGCACCAAGCTGTTATTTGAATAAATCAATCGAGTAATGGCAATGACACCTACTGCCTTTGTGCAGAAGACTGGGTAATCTCCTTCCGGATAGCAGCATTTCCCAAAATAAACGGGCTTTTTCGATGCCTCCTCCGCGTCCTCTTCAATCATCCAATCAACTTCGCTATCGAGCTCTGGCAGAAGCTAATAAAAACGTCTGTGTGTATGTTCCGTCATACACCGAAATCCGGACATTTGGTCCATAAATCCGGACACTTTTAAAAGTTGATTCTCAATGCCCACCATGCTCAAAATAGCACGTAAATTTTAACATGACCGGTATTCGGAGCATTACGGTAGTATGTGAGTGCTTTTAGTTTCAGTATCGTCGAAAGGGGGAATAACACTTGGGAATTGCTATTGCTCAGAAGACGGGTCTCCAGAGAAAATCTCACATTGATTGGAAATGAGACATGCATACTTGTCAATAGAAAAAAGTTGGAAGGGTTGTATACTAGATACGACCGCAGGGTTGGCGTTGGATAACGTCTGTTATGTGTTGTACTTAATTGTGTATATTATATTTTAGGAATATTCCTTAACAACTCTTTTGCGAAAGTTTGGTGGCCATGAAAAGGGCCGTTTTGTTGGGCTGATGTTGTTGGGTTTGCTCTACTCTGTCGCCCTGGAGGAGCTTTGGAATGATGTTGGTAGTTCGAAGACAGACAGCATCTCCCCTTCCAGCGTTCCCACACCCCAGTATAGTCCCCAAATTTAAGTGTAACTGTGATATTCTGGATAGAAATTGTCTTCAAAACTAACTCTTTGTCGAATTATTGGTGGCCCTGAAAAGGGCCGTTTTGGTTGTGGTTTTGGAATGACAGACTGAATAAATGATTATGTTTTAAAAATTTCAGTTTTTGCTCCGATCAACAACCATACGGGGCAATATGAGCACCCTAGTAAAAGTTAAGGTTTTGACAGGTTTTCACTAGAAAATAACATGCAGGAATCAAGTGAAATAGAAACATAAGTTCTTTTAGCAACAGTTACGTGTATTGCTCGCCGTAGAACCAGCGGATCAGTAAAATGTAATATAGTGAATGCGATGCTTGTTTTCTTGACTGCATATCTTATAATATTCTAGAGATTTTGAGCTAATGTTACATTTCCATTATTATCTTAGACATGTAATTGAATTTTGATACGGTTTTCATGGAGATGCATATTAGAAGCATTTTCAACAAGTTTGTAAAAAAAAATAGATTGAGTTAATAGGTATTATGCCCAAACGAACGGTGGCCCCTCTCGCCCCGTATGGTCTTCTTGCCCCCATCGCCTCTATTGGACTGAATTCGGAAACGCTCATGCAGTCTTGTAAGCGGTCACGGTAGTCGACACATTTTCTGTGATAATCGACTGCTTTTGCCTCCGACACTTGGAAAACAAGCTATCATAGTACAGTACCAAACTCAAATGTCATACGACAGGCTCTGTCATATGACACTGTCGCCGAAGACCGTCACGAATGTATGTGTTTTAGTTTTTCTCATAATAAGAGCTGCTGATGTTGTGCTTGTGTGAATTCTGAAAATAACAAGCAATGATGTCCTAGGAATAACATTTCTGATCAGAAATGGTTTAATTTACACCAAATGGAGGAATTAGAACGAAATTACTCATGTCATATGATAGTTATTTGATAATTTTCTTTTCGCTCGAATGTTATTCTACCGGTTGTGTTGTGTGAGAGAGACGACGGTAGAGCATGAGTGTAGGAATAAAAACAGACTGTCGCGCACGACAACGAAGCGAGTGTAGTAAAAAACGTCAACTGTTTCAACCCCTGCGCTCATGTCCAACCGGTTTTCGTTTTGGGCTGGAAATTCTCTAAAGCAACATATTTAAAAAATCTGGGAAAATCCGGAACATAATTAAAAATTCTTGAAATAAACGTAATAACATATAAGTGATATCTGGGTAAGTATCTGGCAAGACGATTAAAAATCTGGAAAATCAAATAAATCAGGAATACTGGCAACGCTGTCTCGTTTCATGCCCGTAGAGACAACCGACACTCATCCCATTTTCAGTATTTTGCTACCCACAGTGGTTTATTGTACCGTCCCTGTATTCATAATATGCTACTCGACGCAGGTTTAAAACCACCCTCGACGGTCGAAATGTCATCAGAATGATTCTCTGCTTGAACGTCAAGCAGTACAGTTCGGTCTTTGCTCGCTCTGTCGAGTTGTTCAAAAGTTTCTAGTTTGTTCCAAACATTCGCAGTTTAATCGCGTCGTCAGTAGTGTCGGTCGCTTCGTGTGATGGGAAGACAGCGCTCCCGGAGCAGGCTCCGAGAGAAAACGGAGAAGAAGAACAGCGGTGAGGGTAGCTTGAGTGTACCTATTTCGAATAGGTACGCTACTCTTCCCACCGATTTAGGGAATCCCACCTCAGCCACGGTGAAGCGGTCTAAGAAGAGGAAGAAAAATCAAGGCCAGTCCGATGGTGCGAGTGGACGGGACGATGCCACCGCGACGAACGTCAGCGTCATTGGTGATTTCGGCGACGCCGTCGACAACGAAACTGCTGCCAGCCCGAGTGCAGCAAAAATGAAGCTTCCTCCACTGGTGGTGAAGCAAGTCCCACTCAACACGCTGATTGGCGATCTTTCATCGCTGGGCGTTGCAGCTGAGTTTAAGCTCGGCAGGATCGGCACCAAGGTGATGCTCCGAACCAAAGCGGAGTACGAAGTGGCCGTGAAATATCTGAAGGATACCAAGGCGGAATTCTTCACGCACGACATCCCCGGTGAAAAGCCCTTCAAGGTAGTCATCAGGGGTCTACCAAACTTCGACCCCAAGATGGTCGAAGCCGAAATCAACCGGTACAAGCTAGCCCCAATCGCTGTCTTCCGAATGACAAGGAGAGATGAAAACGTGAAGACGTACCCGGATTGTCTTTTCCTGGTGCACTTCCAGAAAGGGACGGTGACGCTCAATGCGCTACAAGCCATCCGATCGATCTACTCCATCATCGTACGGTGGGAGCCATACCGTGGCGGTCATCGTGACGTAACGCAGTGTCAGAGGTGCCTCAATTTTGGACACGGTACCCGCAACTGCAACATCAAGCCACGCTGCAGCAACTGCGCTCAAGAACACGCCACTTCCAACTGCCCTGCGGATGGAGCCGTGGCGATAAAATGCGCTAACTGTGGTGGTGCACATCAAGGCTCTGACAGACAGTGCTCCAAACGCGAGGACTTCAAACGCATCCGAAAGCTGGCGTCAAGCAACAATCAACCAGGACGCAAGAAGGACAAAACCCCATCATTCAGGACGGAGGATTTTCCGCCTCTTCGTGCTCCCCAGCAAAGGCAAGCGAATTCGCGGGTGCAACCCGCCCCTCCTCAAGAAGCTTCCGGTGATTTTGCTGGCCAAAGCTCTCCATCCCCTCCTGGATTCTGGAGAAAACCAACAGGACAAAACAACAACCCCGATCTGTTTTCAGCGGATGAACTGATGGAAATTTTCGTCAACATGTCCGGTGCTCTTCGTAAGTGCCGCAATAAGCCCGAACAGATCCAAGTGCTCGGTAAGTTCATCATCCAGTATGGCGTCTAAACCGCTAACTATCGTCACCTGGAATGCTTGCTCTGTAAGAGCAAAAAAGATTGAGCTTGCCGACTTCCTCCGCAAGCACAGCATCGACGTGGGCCTTCTAACCGAGACCCATCTAAAGTCCGGCGACAGCTTCTGGTTGCCTGACCACAACATTATCCGGCTTGATCGCACCAGCTCCAGGGGGGGTGGTGTTGCGGTCGTCGTCAAGAAAGGAATAAAATACCACACTCTGTCCCATATCCGCACCTCTATCATCGAGGCCCTTGGTGTGGAGGTGGAGTCGTCGACTGGATACGTCCAGTTCATCGCCGTCTACTGCCCTCGACAGTGTGCCGCCAGCAGTGGACTAGCGGCTAAATTCAAGAAGGACCTGTCCACCATCACCCGTAACGGTTCCCGCTTCGTCGTTGGAGGAGATCTGAATGCTCGCCATGAGGCCTGGCGAAACTACCAGCAGAACCAGAACGGTCGTCTCCTGTTCGACCACTCACAGCATGGACTGTACTCCGTTTGGTTTTCGGATGAACCAACATTCATCTCACCGGCGGGCAACCCATCGACGCTAGACCTGTTCATGACAAATATCGGCTTGTCCAAGCCGGTAGCCTTGAACGAACTCAGCTCCGACCACCAACCGGTGGTGGCTGAACTGGGCTGCAACGTGGCTCCTGCTTCAAGTCTGCGCAAGGACTACCATCGCGTTAACTGGGCCCAGTTTGGACGCGTGGTAGACAGGCACATCATCGACAACCCGCCGCTTGACACCGTGGAGGACATCGATCGAGCGTTGGAGGGACTCCATCAAGCCATAACCGTGGCTGACGAGGCGTGCGTCCGACGAGTTCCTGTGAGGGGTAAGTTTATTGCCATTGATTCCCACACCCAACTTTTGATTCGCCTGAGAAATGTTCGTAGACGCCAGTTTCAGAGGACTGGAGATCTGGGCAAAAAACGTGAAACGGCTGATCTGAACAGACAGATTGCTTCCAGAATGGACTCACTCCGAAATGAAAGTTTCGGGCGTGTTGTCCAGAATCTGGACGACCGCTCCAGACCATTCTGGAAGGTAGCCAAGGTCCTGAAAACTCATCCCAAACCCATTCCACCTCTCAGAGTCGAAAATGATGACAATCG